AATCTGATGGTTGCCGGATTCAATGCACTGCGTACTGCTCGGACGTTCCGCGCCACCATTCTGCGTGCAATGAGCAACTCAACCATTCGTGTTTGTAGTGATGGTCTAACCGCACATAGCTCTCTGAGTATGCGGGCTGCATGTAGAGCATGTCGCGGTAGATTCTCAGCCTATAAAGGAAAGATTCGTGAATACAAAACTACGAACGACAGACCCTACCTCTTCTAGGTAAAGTAGCAAGATGTCAAGGATGTTCAGACCAGACGGCTGTAAAGGTGATAGAAGCAACGTATGCAAGGGAGCAAGCATTATATCCGAGTCGGTGCTTCGGATGGAAGTTTTCAGTGCCGCATAACGAGAAACGGCAACTGAACATAATCATATTTGAGGAGAGAGGACTTTCAGTTCTACAACGACTTACTAGAGAGAAGTTCGATAGCAGGCAACGCTGGTGCTGATGTTCTTTTTAATGTCCTATTGGTTTGATCTTGAATATTTACATCTTCAAGAAGCACGGAGCAAATCTGAAAACATCTACTGCTGCCGATAGGTGCAAAAATATCTTCCTTTCTGACTCACCGCCCTATAGACTGGAGTGTCATTGAGAATTTGTGTGAGCAGAGCCACTGCTGGATCTCTCCGGACAACGGCACGAGCATCGACGTAGCATTTTCTCAGTAGTCCAAGTAACGCCGATAGCGAGACCTCTTCGAGTTCATACTGAAAGAATCTGGCTATAATAGGAAGGGTGGCGCTAATTCAATGCTCCAGTTAGCTGAACAGATGCTTCCTAGATCCTTACGTCATCACTGAATTTCAAATTGACTACAACTGTGTGCATCAGAATTCACGTCTGTGCACTCCGATTCAGCTGTAAATCGTAATCAAGAATCTTGTCATTTTTCGCTGGATAGATTGTGTTTAATCTTTTACAATTATGCCTAGGGTACTTTACTCAAAATCGGCAAAGAAGCTTAAATTTTCTAGGTAGGAGGAGAACAAGTTTGCCATTATTTTGTTTTTCTGAAAAATTGCAAATTTCAAACATTAACGAATAAACCTTGCTGTAGCATTCTTCCATCCTGCTCATTATTTGGCTTTGATATACTCTTATTTTACCGATTCTTTACGTCATAAGCCTACAAATTATGAAAGCCGGTGGCACATCACGCTAAGCTATGACTTTTGGTTGTATCTACTCACATTTTCCCAATAACTTTCTCAAGGTTCAGCACAGATCTCTCACATACTCTTCAATCTGAAAGAGACATTTCAAGATAAATTACCTACTTGAAGGCATTGTCCAGGTCAACTTGGGGGTATTAAGGT